TTCCCATTTCCTTGCAAAGTCCAATAATTCCGTTTGAAGCTGATCTTTTGTTACACTAGCATCAAAATTTCTGAGCAAACCACTCAGGCGCTGCAATGCGTCACTAGGCATTTTTTTTCAAAAGTTCTGCAAAATTTCTTGGATCTAAACAAGATAAATCAGCATATAGACTACCATACTCTGAGAATCTCTGTTTTAAACTACTGATTACTTCCGTATTGTAAAGATTGACACCAAATTTATCATTCGCACTTTCAAGTAGTTGGTTTGCTATTATTCTTTTCTCTTTCAAACCAGTCTGAATATCAAAGTCGAGATTCCTTTTTCCAAGTTCACTGTTTGCAAGTTCTGATAAATTTGTAGCTACTTGAAAAATGGAATCAAAAACTGTCTTGAACCATCTTACAGGCTCTTAGAATATCCATTCCAGTTGTTTGCAAATATTCAGAAAATGGCGTTGTGTGCTCAAATACTTTTAAAAACAATTGTGCCGTCAAAATAAATTTAAAACTTGTCTATGAATCTAAAAGAGCTTTCGCTCTGTATCACTACAGACATCATTATTGAATTTGATTCATATAGAAGTATCATGAAATGTTTGTAACATGTCAATGTACAAAAAATCAATAACTTGTGTTTCTTGATTGTTTATTTATTTACGTTATTTATTTACAAAATAATGATAAATGCTATTCAAATTTTGAATACTAAACATTTGCATAATTATTAGACAAAGTAATTCGGATGAAACCTCAAAAAAGTAAAAAAAAAGTTAAAGCTTTAGATGACTTTACTTTTTCTTTCTTATTTTAATTTTATTTTTTATTTTTTCTTGTGGCCTCCAGGGCCTCGTGTCTCCCATAGGCAGCAGCTTATGTTCGCTTTTGCCTAAATCCGTCATTGAGTTCATAGACTCAATACTTGGCGACGAAATTTCAATGTGCAATCAACAAAATAAATAGTGCAACAAACATAAATAGTAACATAACTTGTTACAACAAAATATTATCAACAATACCAATCTTTGACTTTTCTGTCAGTGAACAATGCACAAAAAACAACAATTAAAAGCTATATAAAATTATATTACAAAATAAATAGTTTAACATTTATTAACAAATTTAGTTTGTTTACGTTAATATAATACTATTTTCGGTGAGCTAAAGATGGCGGCTAAAATTTATTTAATTAGCCGGCAGATGTAATTAGATGTATTAGCCTTCAATTAACTGTAATTAAAGGCGAAAAAAAAAGTTGTTATGTTTTTAGTTATATTTTAATTTACCGTTGATTATAATAATCACCGGAAAAAAAAATGTAGCCTAACTAAAAATACGATAGCTCATTTTGGGGCAACCGGCCCACCGGGATTTTCGGCGGCCCAGTCCAAGCCTGGACATCAAGTCGGTGTCGTTTGCCGATGGATCATTTTTAAATTTATTTTGTCTATCAAGCCGAAATTGGCCCGATGAAGTAAAAAGATGCCATCTTGCCATCTAATTCTGATATAAAAAATGTCGGAAAGATCTTTGTCAACATATCTTTGTAAAATTTACTTTATCGCTCTCGTTTGCAGTTAGTAGCAATATTCGTTTCTTAGATTATAGTGGCAAAACAAATGTAATTCAATTAAATTTTATAAACCAAACAAATCTGAAAAACTATACAACAATGGAAGGAGGTAATATTAACTGGAAGCTCAATGCTTCTTTATGGAGACTATTTTAGTCACACCTTGAATAGTGGAGGACACTCGGTAACTGTGGCTAAAGCAAGCATCCAAATGGCATCAAGTTTCCGTAACATCTAGAAGATAGTCGCTTCACGTAGATAGTAATCTCCCTATCATACTGCTTATCACGAAATTTTGCCGCAAAAAAAATTTAGACTTGACAATTAATAATGATCCAGATCAAAGCATAGAGATAAACGAAGACGAACTATTTGGAGAGACATCAATGAGTCAAAACATATTGTCTTATTATTAGTTTTTTTGCTGTTGCAAGTGATTACAATAAGTACGTGTCTAATTATTATACACTTCTTATTTGTAGCCGAGCTAATTTCAATACATTATCAAATCACGTAGCAATATACAATTAGAAGACAATATTCAGTAGCATATTATCAAACAACAGTCACAACCTACTGGTTTCAAAGTCTAACAAAGCTATAAAGTCGCCATCACACAAACTGTTACAAAAATAACACCAAGCGCATTTAAAAAGTAATAAAAGCTATTAAAAAAACCGTGTACACATCAGGAGGATCAGCTTGTAATTTAAAGGAGGTAAATCAGGAGGATCTGTTTGTAATTCAAAGTTTGATTTAAAAAAATGCATGCTTTTGTGTGCTGTTCTTTAACTTACAAAACGAGTTAAGGAACTGCTAAAAAAGAAGTTAAACAATATCAGTTGACCAGGAAATCATCTGTCACATACTTAACAACTACTTTGAACAAGTTTTTTTCTCAAATGCAATACATAAGATGCTTGCATTCACTAACAAAACCAACAAAGACAATTGCAATTTTGAAGCGACGTAACACAGTTGTTAAAGATGTCAAGTTAAGACTACGCCAACTCACAGAAAGCAAGTCAAATAGAGCGGATGAACTTTATCCACAAGTTTTAAACAGACATTCCGTAATTTTTTCTATACCATATGCACTCTTTTTTAAACGTTCAAACAGCACTAACGTTGTGCCCGAACTGTGAAAAAAATCTAATATCATACCAATCATCAAATAGGCAGTGATATTCCTACAAAAGCTGTCTATATTGGCAACGTAGCAGATATAATATACACTAACTTTGCGAAAGCCTTGTTCAAGGTATTGCATAGACATCTTGTACACAAGTTGCAACAATACGGCATCAGAGGCAGATTAATACTTTGAATAGAAGAAAAGCTAATCAGACGCTAAATAGTAGTTGTTTTTGCTAAACACATCTTGGAGTGAAAATATGTTTCATGAGGAATACAAAAAAAATCTTGTCGTCACTCATCGAAATGCTTTATCGCAAAAAGTTATCGATGCGCCTACAGTTAACTCCTTCAAGAACTCAATTGCATAGACCGTCCGCTGTTTCGTCTGCAGCGCAAACTCGTTAGAAAAAAGAAGCCTGGTGTGCTCCTCTTCATCAATGATATTTGTAGTTATTGGTTACTATAAAAATAAATTCAAATTTAATATTGTGAATATTTTTTTTTTTAAATACAATAATAACTCTTATCATTATAAATATGTAAACTATTATTAACAATTATTATCATTATTTTTTATTAAAATGCTAATTACACTTACACAACTAAATAAATTTAGGCCGCCTGACTGCAGGGTAACCTATAAAATTTATATAACTAACAATAATAGTTAAAATTACCAATAATACCCAGTGGGCACGGACGTAAAAAAGACGTATTTAAAACGTCTTCTAAACGTTTTGGATGTCTTTTAAACGTTTTGGACATCTTCTAAACGTTCAAAAAACGTCTTTTTTTGGTCCGGTGCCCACTGGGTAGTAGTCAAATCTTAAAAAAAATATGTTTATATATAACGTTTGACCACTACAATCGTTATATATTACTAGTTTAACTATTACCGTTAATTATTTATAAAAGCAAAACATGTGTAACATATTATTTATTATGTGTAACATATTATTTATACAAAACATGTGTAACATATTATTATTAAACACACAAAATGTTAGTCGTAAAACAGGGTTTTTAGGGATTTGAATACAGACAGAATCAATAGAAGTTTTTTAACTTCTATTGATTCTGTCTGTATTCAAACGTGCTTCCAAGAAAATGAAACTAATCTTTTTGCCACATGGCTGGGTAATCCACTTAGCTTAAGCCCCATCAAAAACTGTTTGGCAAAATTGAAAGTAGAAGTTTATTAACAAAACCTAACTTTACTAGTTGATTTAAGAAAAGTTACAATGAAAACGTGGTGTCTTAAAAGAACATTGCATCTTTTTTGCTAATGATGCATAGATGCATGAACCCTTGAACATTACATCTTTTTTGTTAATGATGCATAGAAGAGAGACTGTTCCAAAATTTCGAGGAGCCCATTCAAAGGGCTAAAACATGTTTTATACTATAATTTCTTTATCATTTTAAGTTTGTTTTTAATATGCAGCATTTTCTAGTAATAATTAAGAACACTATAATTTTTAAAAAACAACTTTTTTTACATAAATATTGTTTCTAAATGATAAGTGACTCGCGTAGTCGTTCATAGACAACTTTGAACATTCTAAAACATCTATAGCAATTGGGGAAAACTTTAAACTTATCTCTAAAATGGAAATAGTTTCTTAAGTTGATGCTTTGAACCGTTTGTTAATGGCATTTATAGATCTCTCAAAAAACAATTTTAAAAATTTAAAAATGGCTCAAAATAAGAAAAAAAAACTAAATTATACTGATATAAATGAAATCCTTGTAATATTTTTTGATGATAGTGGTGAAGTTTTTTTTTGTTTGATTACCACTATAAACGCCATTTTTATTTTATATCGAAAACGATATGTTTATGTGTTTCTCCTTTATTTATTTAAGGTTACATAAAGAAAATATATATTTTCGTTTCATGTTTTCGTTCATGGCATATTTTAATCACATAACTAAGATAAAAAAAAAAATTTTTTTTTATTATTTTGAAAGCCTATTTTTCGACAAAAAAAAAACTAGGTGAAATTCTGACTTGTAGTTTTTAATTTATACTCTTTCAATTGATCATAATTTAAAGTTTTTTTTACGCGTTCTTTTAATATGATTATAATATAGTCATAATAGTCTATAATGCTGCTACTCAGTCGCGAAATACTTATAATATAGCTGCTACTCTGTCGCAAAAGACTTTAACAAGTTAAGAAATACGTATAATATATAGTTGCTACTCAGTCGCAAAAGACTTTAACAAGTTAAGAAATATAAAATAAAAAAAGAAAATAAAACAATTAATATTTATTATAATAAATGACCTTTCCATGACGCACCGTTATCTTCTGTAAAGTAGCAAGCTGTTTTTTCACTAAAAAATGAAGAGAAAAATCTTGAACTAACTTTTTATTTTATAACGTACCCAATTGAATAAACATTTATTTTATAACATACCTAATACTATCTAATTTTACATAATTTTACACTTTAGCTTGCTTTTTTTCGGATGTAATTGAATTTTTTTTTTCCTGATTGGAAAAGTAAAATGACCAACTTTTGTTAAGATAGACTGAAGAAAATAATACTAAGTTCTTATATTACATTTTAAACCTTTAAGTAACCACGTATGGAACTTAATAATGAATAAAGAAATATTTTGTTACATAGATATCTTTTTTCAACGTTATTTACTCACGAATAAAAATATTATATATTGACTATTTGTTAGATTTATTAAGGTTTTTAATAATGAACCAAATATCTTTTTCTTCTTTTTTTAATTTTTTATTTAGTAGCCCCAAGTCCTTACGGTCTTATCACAGAGCACCGCGGATGAGCATTTAGTTAGAAGTTCATGCTTCCTTCCTAACCAAGGTCGCAAAACTTTCCCAGAGGTGGGGTCTAACTTTACGTGTCCCGTAGATTATGCCACAACGATCGTGTAATCTCAAGTGTTATAAAAATCAATATTATTTTTATTACTTATTACACATTTATTACTTTGACAACATTTGTGATTGATACAGCTCCATTTAAATGCATGTTTTTATTTTTAGATTAAGTAATATAGTTGCTGCCACTTCTTCTTGTCTGGTACGTCTAATTTTTAAAATTAATCCAATTTTCTTTTTAAGTATTTTGCAATAATTGTTGCGCTATGAATTATATTATATTTACGTTTGTTGTGCAGGCGCTTGTATTGAAGTGTATTAATACCTAAACATTATTAGCAACTAACAGCCTTCTACAATCCATTTTATCATTTAGTTGGTTTTTGAAATACATTTTTTGAAATACATTTTTTGAAATACATTTTTTGAAATTTTTTAATTTAAAATTTGCGCAAGAGATTATTGTTTCTTTTGTTTTGTTTTGTTCTTTTTATTACATTTTAAATAAGCATTTTGTTACAATATTTAAAATACTAATATATAATAATAAATATAAATATATATAATGATCGTTATTAAATAATAAAAGAACACGGGGACTCGTAGAGGACCATATGGTCTTGTCGTTGAGTACCGCTAAGAAATGTTCGTGTTAAAATTTATAAGATATTTACAAGATAAAAAATAAGTAACGAAGTAAGAAACTTAAAATGTTGCAAATATAAGATACAATATTACATATTTCAGTAGTTAATGATAATAATTTAATAATTAATGAATACAATTTTTTATAAATTCATGTTTAAATAGAGGGTAAAAATTAAGATCACTAAAAAATATATTGTAAAGTCTTCGATTGTAAAAATGAGTTCTTTAAGCTATCGTTTAAAAGAAAATTAGTTACTTTGATGAATAAAATCATCAGTAAAATTTTTTAAAACTATTTTATTCCATAAGAATGGTCCGCAATAATCAGTACAAAATTCAAAACATTTTTTTGAAAAATAGGCTGCCTAATAAATTATCATTGAGTAAAATGTATTTATTTTTATCTTTTGATGAATAAAAATTATGGAAAGAAATCGGGAACAAGTTGGTTTTACATTTAAACATAAAACAAAAAATATAAAAAATATGAAGCTCATATATATTAAAAACTTTCATTTCAAATAATAAAGGCTTGGCATGAGTATAACGATCTTTTAACGGTCTTGGCATAAGTATAACGGTCTTTTTATTGTTTAAAGGCCAATCTATTTTGTTTGAGACTAGCTAAATTTGATAAAGTTTAATTCTTTAATCGTTCACAGTAATTGCTTTATCTGATGGTTTGAATATTTAAGGACTTGATAAAAATTTAAAATGTAAAATTTCTTAATCTTCCTGACGAAAAACTCTGAAACTCTGAAGGTATAAACCTTTTGGCTCATTTTCTGTTCGATAAACCGGGATTTGTGTCTATGATTGTTGAATACTAATTCCTGCTTTCTTATCCTTAAAGCCACTCTTTCCTCAAGATCATTTTGCTCGTTAAATAGATAGACAGCTCTTAAATTGTTTTATGACCATATAAGCAGTAGTTTTGCTTTTTTCAGATTCAGATGCTTTAGCGATTGAAAGTAACGATACAGAAAGATTTTGTAGATAGTTAAGTAAAATTATTTTTCTAACTTTATTGGTTGGTAGAAAGAACAAAATCTTCTTAAATAATGTTGAATTAGTAGTGCATAGCACCATTACATACGTTATGTTATGTTTTTTACATTACATACGTTATGTTATGTTTTTTACATTACATACGTTATGTTATGTTTTTTACATTACATACGTTATGTTATGTTTTTTACATTACATACGTTATGTTATGTTTTTTACATTACATACGTTATGTTATGTTTTTTACATTACATACGTTATGTTATGTTTTTTACATTACATACGTTATGTTATTTTTTTTACATTACATACGTTATGTTATGTTTTTTACATTACATACGTTATGTTATGTTTTTTACATTACATACGTTATGTTATGTTTTTTACATTACATACGTTATGTTATGTTTTTTACATTACATACGTTATGTTATGATTTTTACATTACATACGTTATGTTATGATTTTTACATTACATACGTTATGTAATATTTTTTACATTACATACGTTGCACGTTAAGGGAAGTTAAGCTAAAACTATCAGACAAACGTGAGATAAAGAAAAATTTACAATCAAAATAAGGGTTTTTTGGACGAAGGAATTCAAATATGAAAATAAAATTTTTTATTGCATACAATAAATACCTGTGCAATGAACATGTACGCGTTTTCGAGAACCTAAATAAATTCAACCACTATTTATATTTATTGATTTAGGTTTTATGAATTAAAATATTATATCATTTAATTGATAACGCACACGAAACATGAAATTCTGCGCGTCAAACATGCACGCTAGCACGCGTAAGACTTTTTTAACTAGAAAAAAGAAATTAAGTTAGATATTAAACTAGTTTAATTTTAAGATACTAACAAGTTCTATACATTTGTTGGCATGGCAATGCTTTCTCTTGAAATTTCTTTGCAAAGGATATACTTTATCTATAATCTAATCTTGCACTATGATTTAATAAAAGCACAGTAGGTCTGATCTCTCATAGGGTTAAGTCGTGATATTTTTGCTGTGTGGTTCAAATCTTGCATTTCAGAGCAGTTTGTTGAAAAATTTCTAGAGCTTTCTTTCTAGAGCTTTCTTAGAGTTTTAAGTATTTGACAAATCAAATACTTTGAAAAAAAAGGTTTTTGAAATAAAAAATCTCTAATAATCTATTTAGTTCACTAAATTCATGAATTAAATTAGATTAAAGACCATCATCATGAATTAAATTTTGAAGTTTTTGTAAATTCAATAAAGATTTTACCAAGTTATTTTATATTCACGACTATTTTATCATTCACGACTATTTTATCAACAAAAGAGGGGCGGACTTTGTATTTAACAAAACTATGCATTACTCAATTTAAAATATCTTTTTAAGGAGCTATAAATTGCAGTAAACTTTCAAGGATCATTTTGAATAAAGGTTATTACTTTGTTTAAACCACAATTGAACGTGGAACGAAGTGAAACTTTTAATCGGCTAGCACATATGTTCATAATGTGTATATAAGACTAGATTTTTTAATTGTAAGTTATAAAAAAGGTATTGTTTTTGAAATAAAAAATAAAATAGAATATATTTTTGTTTACTAAGGACAAAGTAGTTTAACATAATAACTAAAAGAGTTTGAAAACTGATTACAAGTAAGATTAAATTAACCTTAATTAATTATACCTTACATTTTAAAATTTCAGGTTAAAATACATATTTTGGTATTTGCTTATGATTTTTTTATGTTAATTTTGTTCTAAAAATTAGTTTATTTTAATATTAAAAGTCTAAAATTAATAAAACTTAAATTTTATTTGTCTGACTTTTTGTCATTTTTGACCTAATCTATCTACTGTGACTTGATTTGTAAGCATATGCAAGCTTAAGTTAAACTATTTTTTAATTTTTATGTTTTTGTAATTTATAAAATTAATTATTTGTTATGTAAATATATGTTTGTATATTATAAAAATATATGTAAAAGTATGTTATGTAATTTATAAAATTAATTATTTGTTATGTAAATATATGCTTGAATATTATAAAAATATATGTAAAAGTATGTTATGTAATTTATAAAATTAAAAATGTTGAACATTTCTAATTTTGTAAATTACATAAACATAAACTGAATAAAAAATCACAGATATAACAAGCAAATAAAATTGCATACTCTACCTGGGAACATTTTGGTTTCTACATAGGTATAAACGAGAACTTTCATTATTCCAATATATACCACGTCGATAGTATTCTAATAAATATAAAATATGTTTTTCCAACTCAAAAGGTTAAATTATTATATTATAAAAAATGAAAATTTTATAACAATTTTATAAAATATAACATTGTTTTGTATGGGTGGTAATTTTTTGTTTTCGGTGATGGAAAAGCTCACACCTCTTCAATAAATCAGATTACAAACTTTACTTGTTCACAAAGTTACAAATTTACAGGTTTTGGCAGTTACAAACTGTACTAGTTTATTTGGTATTGGACTTTTACATTTCAAGTAGTTGGCTTCAAATTTTGTTAGAAAAAAAAGGAAACAAAAATTTAATTTCGAGGAGCAACATTCAATCTGTTAACAGATGGTAATACAAATTACTGTTGGAATTTCAAATTTAGAACCAGAAGGAGTTCGAAACTTGTAAATTTGATGCCATTTTTGAAGCTGTTAACTTTATAAACCATTTTAAAACTTTCTAAAGCAAGTACTAAGGTTTTAATCTGTAAAATATTCTTTTCAAGCATTACTAAAAATTTATCTAGAAAAATTTACGAACTTTATTCATATGTTGAGTCTTTCTATTTTGCAGAAATGAGTTTAGAGGTCATCAAGAATCAAAAAATGACTGCAACTTGAATTATGCCTAAAATACAGACATTTTTGTAATCTATATTATAAATAAAAGAAATATAAACTTTAAGCTAGAGAGACAGTCATAGAGGGAGAGTCATAGAGGGAGAGTCATAGAGGGAGAGTCATAGAGGGAGAGTCATAGAGGGAGAGTCATAGAGGGAGAGTCATAGAGGGAGAGTCATAGAGGGAGAGTCATAGAGGGAGAGTTATAGAGGGAGAGTCACTCAGAATAATTAAAAAAATATATATTTCCGCAATCCTTACGTTTCAGAATTCATTTTTTGCTTTATATACAACGCATATAAAAAAATATTCCAAAATTTTTAACTAAAAGTACACACTGGTTCTTGAGATATCCTCATTTGAATTAACGCTGATTGACCATTTTAAAGATAATTTGAAAATACAACAAAGCAATTTTTACAAATAATTTCTTTTTAAAATTTAGATATAATATCTTGATAATGGTGTAGGAGATTTGAGGAGTTCAAAATTAGCACTCTGGGAACTAGATAACCTCATAAGATCCAACAAGAATTTGAATGTATATGATACTATAAAATGATATTTAAAAATATGATAATAACAAATAATACCTTTGGGTAAAGTAAAAATAACATCATAAATCTTTACTTTAATACTTTGAAAGAAAAGTGAATCATTAGCGATTCAATATAATCAGTTATTTTTTTAATTGCGGCGGTTTAATGAAAGTGATAGTGTTTACATTACTTTATTGATTTGGAAACCATATTTTTCTTAACTGAGACAAAAAAACTAATTTTAATTTCTTTATCTCTTATTTTATAACAGACTATACAACGAGAAGAATCTTCAGAAGTGAAAAAATGAAAAAAAAAAAAGTTTATAATCATAGTTAAATGTCGTTTTTAATGAATAAGAAAAAAACATTGGGTCAATTATAAAAGAAAAGAGACTCTAAATAAAAAAAATAAATTATCATAAAATATTAAATAAAAAGTTTAAAATTATAGGTACTTTTAGGGAGGTGGAGGGTACTCAAAAAAATTGCAAAATGCGGGAGGAAGGGGTGTGGGGGTGTGGGGTGGGGTGGGGGTGTGGGGTGTGGGGGGGTGGGGGGGTGGGGTGGGGTTGGACGAAAAAAAAGCGCACGTACTTTACACATAACCTAAATGTATTGGTAACGCTTTGGTAAAATATTTTAAATTGTTATTTTATGCTAAACTTAGATTCCATCTACACAAACTTAGAAATTTTCTAGTGCCTAAAAGTGTCATTACTAAAACATCAAAAAATTCGGACCCGTCACTAAAAACAATATAAGTGCTTCTTAACATATTTTTGACAATTCGTCTAGTATTAATCAGAATTAACAGGTTTTTGAACAAAACACAACTTCTGTACGCAACTTAAAATTTTGATTCTGATATCCAAAATTTTAGAAATTATTTAGGTAAAGGTGTATTTTCATAAAAGTTAAAATTTTGTTTTTGAATTAAACCTATTAACTCAAACACACTGCGTGAAAATAGTGTCCATGAATTTGCGTTCAAAATTTTATTTGTTAAAACAAGTTATTTCTTATTTTTTTATCTATCTTGTTGTAACTTATTTTAAATTTATTTAAAACTTATTTAATTAAATGTTACTTCTTATATTTTTCCTTTTATATATAAACTTGTTTCCAAATTTGCAATAATGTTGTAATAAATGTATTCTTTCTGATCTTAATTAAATTATGTAGAACAAGGTAAGTTTATAAACTTAAATATTATAATTTTTTTATTTTTTTTAATTTTTTTTTTGCATTTGAAGAAATGCTATACTACAAAGGAAAGAAAAAGTTCATCACAATGAGTTTCATGACAATGACGAAATATTTTAAATAGTTTATGACAATGACGTAATAGTTCACAATGAAGAAAGTATAGTTCATCACAATGTAGAAATAGTTTAGTCACATGAGGAAATAGTTCACCACAATGAAAAAAATGTTCATCACAATGAAGAAATAGTTTATCAAAGTAAAGAAATAATTTATCAAAATAAAAAAATAGTTCATCACAATGAAGAAATAGTTTAGTCACATGAAAAAATGGTTCATAACAATGAAAAAAGAGTTCAATCGCAATGAAGAAATAGTTCATCCCAATGAAGAAATAGTTCAGTCACAGTAAAGAAATAGTTCATAATAATGAAAAAATAATTGAGTCAAATGTCAAAATAGTTCACTAAAATGAAGAAATCAAAAATGAAAAAAATTTGTAAAATTCATTTGACTACAAAGTATCAATACTCACCTGATTGATAAATTTTTTGTAGATATTTTTGAGGTGAAATCATTTCTTTACAGTTTTCGGATATATTTTTTTTTACTGTTTGATATAATGACCAAGAGTTTCCACATGAATTTTGAAAAGATAACTTCATTGAAACATCAACAGAGTATATACCAGATGTGCAGCTAGTGTTAAGAAGTTCTGTAACAATAGTATGATTTGCTCCATTACTGTTTAACCTGTGAAGAATCTAAGGCGCATATAATATAATTTTAATAAAGAAGGTCTATTTACTAGATGAGTAAAGTATTTTTAAGAGTTTTAATTTTTTAAATAAATCATAAAATAAACTGTATATTTAAAGTCTGTTAAAAGTAAAAAAGTAGTACGGAATATGGATACAAGTACATCTGTATACAAACTCACGTTTTAAGTGTAAAAATGGACCTATTATTCTCTATCATAAACATTTTTTTTATTTAACTGAAGTTTTTTTGAAAATCTGCAATGCAATTTTTTTTAACTTTTATTTTACATTATTTGGCTGACAGGTAAAATTTTACAACGCTTTTGAACTTAAATTAGCAAATGTCTCCTTTGAAATACTGATTCAACGGTAAACAAACGTTACAGGAAGTAATCTGAATTTTTGATTCAGATTACTTCAACTTCATCAAAGTAAAAGCTGTCCATAGTGGGCACGGGTGGTCAGGGGGACCTTCATTAGACGTCTTATGGACAAACGCCAGACAACGCGTGCCCACTGCGCCTTACTGGTTTTATTTATCGAAGTAAATATAAATATGAAAAAATTATTTTATACATATGTATTATCTTTATGCTCAAGATCATTCGCGCTATAACTAGAGCTCAGTTGATGAACTTGTCTTGTTTTACCTACATACATAAATAAATACCCCAGTAACCACCGGATGGTTCAGAATTGGTTAATATTTTGTCGAAATTGGTTGCAAAATGGATAAAACGTTTAGGACTTAAAAACCACGCGCCCATGACTCGCTAAATAACGAAGATTTATATCTGAAAAGTTATTTTTCATTGGTTATATCTGATAATATGAATACGCTAATTTAGTATTATTATTATTAGTCGAGTTACGTCATTTTCTAGGCTTTTCTATTTTAAAGTAGTTTCTAGGCTTTTCTATACGCGGATTTTTTTTTTTAATTTTATTTACTAACAACGCGTATTACGGGTTGCTTACTGCTAGTAACTAAACAAGATCTAAACGCGTTTTCAAGACTCACTTCCTTATAACAACTGAAAGCAAAATAGCTATTAAATAAATAATAAACAAGTTTCGAATGCGCCTTTTTAAATCATGGAAGTTAAAAGGTATATTTAGGAATAATAAATGGAAGCTACCTTCCTAAATGCTATAAAAATCATGAAGTCCGATGCTTTAAAATATCGGGTTTCATAATTTCTAATTAGAAATTATTGATGACCACATTAGCACAGTTAAGCAGTATGATTTTCTGATCTCTGGTTATGAAAGTCCTGATGCAAGAACTTTTTCGTAAGTCTTATAAACAACTGTGCAGTTTAAAGTCATCTGTAAACGAAAGTATGATTGTGTAACAGTAGCTATTCATCTATGCTAAAATCAAGAGGTTTAACAATTAAATTTATATTTGCTTACATTAGTTGCATTTGCTAAAGAAAAGTGCTGAAGCAGAATTGGTAAAGACCACAACATATTTACCAGTATTATATAAGTTTTTATGATTGTATATATAGTTTTATAGTATAAAAGTGTAATATAAGTAGTATGGTATAAAATTTTATAAATATAAATAGTTATAAAAGTTATAAAAAATAAGGTCTATTATGCAGATTTAATATACTTTTTTATTTTAATATTTTAATACCTATATATAGGTCTTATTACTTTAATATTTTAATACCTATATATAAATCTTATTACTTAATAAAGTTAAAAAGTTTTTACGTAATTTTAATTTATTTAATTTTAAAAACTTATATAAACTAGATCTGCGTTGAATAAATCAAAGAAACTATTAGACAAATTATAAGCGTTTTATATACGTTTAATAAGACTAAATTTGACTAAATCTAAACGCTTTATTTACGTATAATAACCCTATAATAGATGTCTAAAATACGCTTGAATATTAACGTTTTATGGACGTTTGTTCTAAAAATTAATCTGGCTTTTATTCTAAATGGTTTGTCTAAATGTGGTTTCAACGTTTAATAGACGTTTGTATGTTTACTGGAGCATACATATATTTATAAATACATAAAACATACATACATACAAACAGTGTTGTGGCAACTGGGTCCAAGCTCCTCCCCCCCCCCCCTCAAAAAACAAAAAAACAACAACCTATAATTAAGTATTACTAAAAAAAAAAGGTCCTTACATTTGCAAATAGGTCCCAAATGTCGCCTGTGGGAGCCTTGCCACGGCTTTGCTTGCATAAATACATACATACTTACATACACACTCAGAGAACTTGTCTTGTTCGACAGAGTTAGATAGACGTGATTGTTATTTAAACAAGTTTTGTCAATGCAGTTGTACAGTTTAGTTAAAGTAATCTTTTCGATTGTATAAAATTGCTGATTACTTATTCACTTTAACTCAAAATTAATAGAGATAATTTCTCCGATTTCATAATGGTTCGGCTATAATTCTAAAAAGATGTGTCTAAAATAAAAATATAATTAGCGTTAAAAACAGTTATACCATATACTTTAGGTTGCCCAAATCAACTTTTTCAAAACTGCTTGCTGCTGAGTCACTCTCAAATTTCAGAAATATTGGTAAGAAATATTGCCATGTTACGTTCACTGCTAACTCACAAGAATCTTTCATGTACCTTATTTGAAGTGTCAGATTTAGCATATTTCTAAAAAAAAAAACAGAAATATCATAACATTTAATATAATAAAGTTTGTGAAACAATTAAAATATTTAATTAATACTTAAATTAAAACATTTATTATTAATATTAATACATAAATAAAACATTTATTAAAATATTTGATTCTTTAATTACTCGAACAATGTTCCATGAAACAACACGTTTAAAGGAGGTTTGAAGTTTGTATCACTTTCTAAAATTGTTAAAAAGAAGTTTATATGAGTACATACAATTTAACATAATTCCTAATTAAGGTATTTTTAACTCTTAACTAAATATAACTTATAATTAAAAATGTTTTCATTTCATTATTATATTATTGTTTTATAATGTTTAATTATCGTACTTTTTAAAATTACTCCGTTGAGTCAATTGAATTATTTAAGGAATTATTTTCCTACAATCGTTGTTTTTTTCTGCCCAACCTTTAATGTCGCTTATTTTTACACACAAAAAAAACTTAATCATAAAAATATTTAGTAAGAATAAAAATACTAATATTGTTAGTAAGAAAAAACAAATTTTGAAGTCCAAGTTCCATCTTAATTAAGTGAATGACTATTTATGTTAGTTTTAAGTTGAACCAATTTTTTTTGTTTTTGATAGTTTTTACGAAACCCCTCTTGCACAATTTTGACTCAAAAATCTATAGTACTTGAAAGATCTCTAAGTAACCTTAAAATACAGTTAAGTTTTTTTATATACCTAAAATCAACCAAAGATAAAGACCATAGTGAAAAATAAGTTGTCAGAAACCGCAAATATTAAAAAGAAGAAAGTTTGAAACTATTTGTGAACAATTTTATTATATTACTACATTATCATATAAATATATATTATACTACATATAAAAATTTATATCTTTAAATTAATAAAGAAATTTTTTTTACCAAAATATTATTCACCGAAGCTAATATACTTTCATGTTAGGTATTTTTATGGAGACCAATTCATAACAATCCACAGTTGTTTATAGCTTCATTACACAGGAGTGAGAGGCAAAATAGAACATTCACTCTCACCATTGAGATAAGGAGATGGAATAAAAAGGGCTTATGCGTATATAAAGTACATAAAGTTTAAATGGGTTCTCTGAAATTTTGCATTTAAAAAAAAATATAAATCCATGTTTTTAAATAATAAATCAAGTTTACATTGTTGCACTTCCCAGCATTCATTCTACAGCCGAATTTCGGTGGACCTATATAGAAATTTTGAGCGGTTCACTGTAGTTTTGCTCATCGATTACTCAGTGAAACATTTGTGGCAGTTGTCAAAAGAGGCCAGTTAATGACTAGCCACTACATCACATGTTTGAAAGTTATTGGATGGCCACTTATAGCTTATGCCACTAATGGTCCATTAAGTAACCAATGAGTAAGACTCCAATGAACGGCTAAAATTGTCTATAAAGATCCACTGCAAAGATATAATTTATGAACGCAATAATTCTTTTTATGAAGCTAATAAAAATCAGCTGACCATCAAATCAAATCATAAATAGTATGAGAAGCTGGTTTTTCAAAAAATTTTTTTACATTAAAAACAAATAATTAATAAATCTTGCTTAAAAATAACTTTTTAAACAATTCATTTTGTTAAACAAGATTTAGTCAGTGTTGTATTGCTCACATGGACCTTATTTGTGGAAAGAATAATTTTTGGCTTAATTTAATTTGTTAGAATTTGTGTGGATTGTTCAATGTATTTATTTAATAAAACAAAAATTTTTTAATTGCTTATTCTATAAACAGTAATTTTTAATTCAAGGTTCAGGGCCCAACTAGTTGTAAGTTATTGTGAATTCTGTGGTAGCTCTAAAAGGCTTATTCAATCAATAAAGTTAAATTATAAATATATTAACATATAATTATGTCTCAATTCACATACTTTTTGTAAATTCAGATTTGAATCCTACTTTTTTTGTAGAAAGAGAGGATCGAAATTTATCCGAATCTTGACGGATTTCAATTCCGAATGTCAGAAAGTAAGTTATTAGACTAAACACTTTTGTTAGATTATAATATGAATGTTGTCTACACCAGGATTAGCCAAATGGTGGCTTGCGAGCCGTATGCGGCTCTTAGAACGTCATTGGGGCTCTTTTCAAATGTTTTTTGGTTGAGTAATAATGAAAACTTATAATAAAATATACCCAGAAAACATATTGTTTGAAAAATAGATATAGCAAAAGGCGACGATAATGCTCTTAATAATAAAAGTAAGAAAAGAAAAATTAAAGATGAGAACAGATTATTTCATGGTAATTGGACTGATAAATACGCATTTATTGAAAAAGAAAATAAATCTATGTATTTAATTTGTAATGCTAAACTTGCTCTTAATAAGAACTATGAAACAAAACATATGTGTTTTGTGAAGAATACCCATTAAATTCATGTTATAGAGAAAATAAAATCGAGTTGCTTAAAACAATATTTAAAAATCAACAAATAAATATTTAATCTTCCAGCAAAGAATCAAATATTACAACAGAAGCAAGTTTTATATATGCAAAATTCAAAGGTTAATTTCAAATATTTCTGTTTTTCGACATGCAACCGAAAGAAGAATATTTGAGATTAGTGTTGAAGTTAAACAGCATTTGATAAATGACTTAAAAAGTTGTGAAACATTCAGTTTAGGATTGGATGAATCAACTGATATTCAAGATAAGCCTAAAACGGCAGTATTTGTTAGATATGTAACATCAGATTTACTTGTGAAAGAAGAGTTGTTAGATTTAGTAGAGCTAAAAGACACAACTTGTGGAATTGATTTAAAGAAAGCCCTTGACACTGTTCTTGTGAAACCCAATGCTCCTAAAAACAAGTTTGTTAGTTATGCTACAGATGGTGCAATAGCAATGGTTGGAAAACACATTGAGCTTATTGGTTAACTAAATAGGGATCCTATGTATCCAGAGTTTATCCCAGTTCCTTGCGTAATTCATTGAGAACATTTAGCAGCAAAACGTTTTAGTTTTCCAATTGTTTTTAAATCAGTGCTGGAGATTGTTTTTAAATCAGTGCTAAAGATTGTTTTTAAATCAGTTCTGTAAATTATATTCGATTTAATGCAAAAAATCACAGACAGTTTAAAAATTTTATTTGTGAATTGGATCTTCCTGAAAAATCAAGTGACTTGTTGTTTTACTGTGCTGTAAGGTGGCTTTCAAGTAGTGACGTTTTTTATAGGTTTGTAGAACTATTAGAACCAATTAAATGTTTATTTAACTGATGTAATGCAACATTTACAAAACCTGAATTTGTCGCTTCAGGGACAACAACAACAACAAAAAAACTTGCTCAGACTTTATTTAGTTTTCAAAAAAAAGTTTTTCCGAAAGATCTTAAAATCTTTTAATCATTTTTCTCAAACGAAGATGATTCATAACCCTAATTCTGTGATTCAGTAAAATGATCATATAATTGAACATACCGGTAAAAATTACAGAGTTTATTTGAAGACTTTCAAAACAGGTTTAAAGGTTTGTATGCTCTTAAATCATAATTAGCATTTTTAGTAAATCCTTATTTAATTGATATTATTAGTGATGGTTGTCCAATACCAGAAAATATACTTAAATAAACATTTCAATTTGAAATGGAATTACTAGATCTCCAAGAAGATCAAAATCTTCAAATGCTGCATAAAACACTAACTTTATTGGGTTTTTGAAAAATAGTTCCTGAAGTTAGGTATCCTCAACTAAAAAAGATTAGTATAAAACTTATTTCAATTTTTGGTTCAACATATACAAGTGAATCTTTATTTTCAACTCTGAAATTTGTTAAATCAAAGTATCTTGCCAATCTAACAAGTAAACATTTGTTGCAGTTGCTCAGAATATCAACTACAAGCTTGAAACCATACTTTAAAAAACTTACCAGTAGTGTTCAAAATCTTAGTGCCTACTAAATTTATAGTAAGTTAGGCAAGTTATTATGCAAGAAGAATTTTCTAATAGTCTTTTACAAAAAATAATTGATGTTATAAAAAGAATTCTTTTTGTTTAATTTTTTGCTGAATGATAAAAAGATATTTTCAAGTTGTAAAAATAAAAGTAATTTAAAATAAATTAAAGTTTATTGAAAAAAAATTTTTTATTGTGCAGTCATTTATTTATTTGGATTTTGCAGTTTTTAGTAACTTATGCTATTAAGTGGTTATAAGCAAGTTCAATTTGAATAAAAGCAAGTTTAATTCAAATACATTAAAATAATTTTTTTTTCCGTAAAGAAACCTTTGTATCTTTAGATTCTTATATCTTGCTTACAATTATTTTTATAAGAAAATTTATGGTTGTTGTAATTGTGTTAATTTTTTAAAAAATTATGATATGGAGATGCTTTCTTAATTTTTTCTACAAATGGTTTTCTTGTGTGAATAAAAAGGAAACAGATTTTATGTAGCCAAATTTACATTTAAAAAACAGTTTTTACTTTCTTCATTGTAAAAAAACTGAATACTAAACATAAATTGTGTACATACTAAGTTTATTTATAAAAGTAGAATTTCCAATAAAAAAAAATCAGAATATTGATGTATAAAAAATCTGAATTTACACTCTTCAATTATTTTTTTAAGATGAAGTTGGCATATTTATTGCGGCTCTTCGGCATACGTCAGTATTTATATGCGGCTCTCGCGCCTAAAATTCTGGCTAACCTTGGTGTAGACCAGGGCTGGCCAGAATTTTAGGCGCGAAAAGAGCACTTCGCATCGGTCAAAAGAAAGATAATAAACCAAGAACAATAGTTTTAAAACTCCTGAACTTCCACAACAAAAACAAAATACTAAACTCATTAAAACATCTTTAAGGAACTGGCATTTACATAAACGAAGATTTTGCCCAAGAAACTATCGAACATCGAAGTAAGCTTTGGGAAGAAGTGAAAAAATTACGTAGTGAAGGTAAATACGCCATTTTAAAGTATGATAAAATTTTTAAAAAATACGCGCTTTCAAAAATAACTTTGCGCAAATCGAATTCTATAAAAAAAATTTTCTGATATAACTCTTTTTTCGTCATGGCTAATGATTTTCTAACAAAAGATTTTGATAAGTTGCGTTTTGACGTTTTTAAAACTAAAAAATAATATCTTTGCAAATGATTTATACGATGATAATTTATTTATTTTTAATGGGCCTGACTCTCCATACTTTGATACTAAAACTTTTAAAGCTGAACTTCATAACAATATAGGCGAGTTTACGGTAATACACATAAACATCAGGAGCTTAAATACAAATACCAATAAGTTAAAAATTTTCCTTATCAAATGCAAATTTTAGCATGATTTGTCTTGCAGAAACTTGGTGTTCTGAAGAAAATTCTTATGCAAATTCAAACCTCCTAATCCCTAATTATAATCTTATTTCTTATGAAAGAAAAGCTAACAAAAGAGGTGGAATAATAACCTACATCCATAATAACTTGAACACAAAAATTAGAAATGATCTTTCTATTTCTGATTGAAATAGTGGTATTTACAGTTGAAGTCATTAATTATACTACAAAAAATCTCTTAATACCCTCTTGTTATAGACCGCCCGATGGAGATATTATTACGTTTTCAAATTTTATGAAACAAATATATATAAATGTTGAACATAAAAAGCTATTCTTTATTGGTGACATGAACATAAATTACCTAAGCTATCATGAACACGCAAATACCAAAAGTATTTTCGATGATATGATACAACATTACATTTTCCCAATTATAAACAAACCCACGCGGGTAACTCCCACCTCAATTACAGCTATTGAAAATATATAGACAAATTGAATTCAAGATCCATCCTTAAAACTAGGAATAATTAAAATTTCTACCCTCTCTAAAAATAGAAAATATAGTAATTGAGAGAACTCACGAAACTAAATTTTAAGGAGTTATAATTGATGAAAATTTATCTTAGAAAGCTCACATAAATGCTTTAAACACTAAAATATCAAAAAACATAAGTCTACTGTATAAAGTTAAACCTATGCAAAATAACTTAAAACCTATATATTTCTCTTTTATACATAGCTACCTCATATATGCGAATATAGCTTGGGCGAGCACTCATATAACCAAATTGAAAACTTCATATCGACGTCAGAAACATGCTTTAAGACTAATCTACCATATTGACAAATTTACATACGCTCAACCCTTATTTAAAGAAACGAATATGCTTAACATTTATCAAATTAACATTTATTAAAATATATAATTATTACGCGAAAATTTTAATTAGGTCAAGTACCAAACCATTTTCTAAATAACTTTTTATAAATAACGTTAATAAATATAACACAAGAGAAACAGGAAACTTTATTACACCATTCAAAAAAACAAAACTTTCACAGTTCTCAATTTCATATCGGGGTCTTTATTTATGCAACAAACTAGTAACTAAAAATAAATCAATTTGCAATCTAGATAATCAAAATTCCTTGAAAACAAAGTTAAAAAATCTGATACTGAATCTAAACAGATACTCTGAATTCTTCTAAGACTATAAATTAAATTACATATACATCAACTACAAAATGAACTGACTCGTTTATGAGTATTATCTAAATGTCTCTTACCATTGTCAAACAATATATCAAAAATTGTTTATTACACACAAAAAAAAAAAAAAACACACTTGATTTTTCTTATCAATTTTAGTTATTATGCTGCTTGTTATGTTTAATTTTTTATACTGAGCTTATTTTGAGTTTATTTTTAATTACGACCATAAAAATATTGTGGCGGGATAGCTCAGACGGTTAGAGCGTTAAAGGAAAAGTGCAAACCCGGACTGTTGAACGATACGAGTTCAAATCCCGCCACCGCCAACTCAGCGCTTGAGTAGTTGTACTTCGGTACGCAAAAATGTTGGTTAATAACGGACGCTACTTTGGATTAGTCTTAATGACTATTCGTGGCTGTTCCTATGCGAAGCCAACAATATCTTTGGATATAAGATCATTGTATAGAAAAATATAGCATGAAAACTCAAATAAAAAAAAAACAGCTTGATTTAATTTAAAGGCTATAAGAATATAGTTGTACTTAATATATAATTATATTTAACATAATCATAATATATATCAAACACATTGTAAGGGCTTCGTGATAAGATCGTTACGATCTTCTTGAAGTCGGGCCCGTACTATTTAATTATAAATTTCGCTATATATTTTGACTCACGAGACTTGTAAATATTACACCTTTAATTTACGAAACTTGTAAATGTTATATGTACGGCAATTATAAGAATAAAAAAAAATAAAAATAAAAATGTTGGATTATGTGTTGTACCTAGCTTTGAGAAATATAATATTTATTTAATTACGGGTAATAGGGTTAAAACACTTACTGTTATACACATTTTTTTATATAAGAAACTTTTTATAATGTATGTATGTATGTATGTATGTATGTATGTATGTATGTATGTATGTATGTATGTATGTATGTATGTATGTATGTATGTATGTATGTATGTATGTATGTATGTATGTATGTATGTATGTATGTATGTATGTATGTATGTAAGTATGTATGTATGTATGGATGAGGTAGTCCACAAAACTATACTGAAAAGTAGAATCATTGATATACGCGGCTTGTTTTTGTTTATTGGATATAAATACAGTGGACCACAAAAACTTTTATGTTGGATAGATGATTCAGTATGAAAGAAAGATAACAGACTGCTACATTAAATAAAAAATTTATTTTGTATGCAAAACATGATTTCGGAATTGGGATGGAAAAATATTGTTAAATTTTGGTGGATGAAACAAAAATGTGACTTGCATAATTGTTATTGTTACTGACATTACCATGAAATACTATTAGCTATTCCAAAACTGGATAAAAAAACAAGGGAGACTCAACTGAGTACAAAAATCACTACTGTTTCTCTAAATAACTTAAGGAATAAGAGAGAAGTAATTGAGAAATGAAATTTGTGTTCACAAAAGACTATTCTATTCGACACAAAAGCTAGCAGTACAGTGCTTTACAACAACACATGTGTTAGAATTTAAAAAGCTCTGGAAATTTAAATGGTCTAGATTACATGCATCATGGCTGCTTATATTGAAGAACATGCAATCAAAAATGTTTGTTTATTTACTAGGTGCTCTTGAAGCAAGCATTAGCCAAATGATAGTTTTTAGGAGTTATTTATTCTTCTGGTTTATTAGTGGGCACAAATGCAGCATAAAATTGTGAGCTTCCATTCGAACACATTATGCGAGATTGATCACAAAAGTTATTTATTTACTAAAAATCTTTCTTTAAACATCTCCAGTACTAACTAAAGTGAAAAAACGCATTTTCTTGTAATAGGCCTTAGGTTACATTACTTAAAAACAAGAATAGAAGAATATTGTGTGGTCATATAACTAGACGGTTTCAATTATTGCTCGCAAAGATAAGTTTTGTAAATTTAACTAATATTGTTAAACAAAAAACAGCCAAAAAAATAGTACGGATACCTCCAGAAAAATTATTTCTGGATCCCGCCGCTGATATATAGGTGTGTGCGTATAATAAACTAAAAATACAATAAAACTTGGCAAAAAAAAAAAATAGTTTAAAATTGGTTTTAAGTAAAAAGAAAAAACATTTTACCTGAGCAAGCATATGTTACAACGAGGTTCCTTATGTAGCCAGGTTGCGAAGGAACCCACGGATTGCTTGCAAATATTTTAACCTTTGTGAACTCTTGTGGCTGAGTATTTATACATGTTGAAACAGTCTCCTGATCTATTTGAACGGTATGATTGTAGTTGCCATTTTCTAGTAACTGACTTACTTTGACCTTTATCCACTTCATAAGCTCTAGTGTTTTTGAGTACACGCAAAAAAGATTGTTTCCATTTACAGATGAACAAACTTGAATCTCTTTAGCTTTAAAAGAAATGCTTGGAGTTCTATCTCCATAATTTCTATAATCACCTCCTATTGTAAAATGAACGATGTTAGTCCAATAAGTAGAATTAGAAGAAGTTAAAAAAACTTCAAATGCTATCACATATTCTTTAGGTAGTGTTTTTAAAGTCGTAAGAAGTTTTTGCGGTTCTAAACTTTGTTGCGATAGCGACTCTAAAAATTATTTATTAATTTAAATTTTTGCTACAAAAAAAACTACAACAATAACAACAAGAAAAAAATATTTAAAGCACAAATTTTAATTTTAATGAGGTGCCTATTGTGGAACACCATTTTTATTTTACCAAAAATATCATTTAAGAAAAAAACAATGAAGCATAGTATTATCAACACGTAATACTTAAAGTGGTTATTGGCAGTCGTTAGGGGCGAGCTCTGTTTCAGCATATTTCACGCTATCAGTAAGGAAAGAGGCGTGAATTTCTTGGTTAAATGCTCTTCCACGGTGCTTCGTGACAAGATTGTTAGGTCTTCTTGGGCCATTTAAAATAAAGTTCAAAAGAAAAAAAAGAAAAAAGTTTTTGTTTGAGGCAAATTAAAGCGTAAAATAGTTGTTGTAGTTAGTTTCATAAAAAAAATTATCAACTTCATGACTAGATATTTGGTCTTTTAATCTGGAATACATGAATTACTTAATGTAGAGTTGACAGTTTAGCTATTGTAATAACCTATAATATTCAGCTCAACAAAAAAAATAATCAAACGTATGTGAAACGTTTTCAATCAGAAATCAGTACTTTAAAAGATACTCTCCATTTCAATGTTTGATTTGTTGAGCTGCATATAAATGAAAGAGAAACAATTATTTTCACAAAAATAAATCTATATTTTATAGAGCATAATAAATAGTATTATTCTATATAGAGCATAATAAATAGTAATATAACTAATAAAAAAGAAAAAAATTGTTTTTTTTTTTAAATCGCACGCACAGACTTCATTCTTTGGGAGCCTAGCTTTGACACAATACACATGACTCATCATGTTTCCCCAAAGTTATCTGCTAAGACCATTTGTTAGAACTATTTAAACTAAATTAAAAATATTAAGAGCTTGAAGGAGAAAAATGTCTTTCTAACTGTTGAAGTATTTTTAAATTAAAGTTTTCTTGGCCTACATGGATGGACTTTCACACGAACGAGTCTCTCAGATTTTGCTTAAATACAAATCTTTTTTTATAGTTATTTTTGCTTGAGTTCTGCACCACTTTGCATATGTTAGGCGTTGAAGTTAAAATTTTTTTGTAACCCTGACTTTCTTCTTCTGCTTCCCGTTTTTTTCACCAACTTTGGAAGTGCCATCTTCGGGATGGACTGAAAAGACAGATTTGTTTGTATTATCAGGTTTTGTATCCAGAGAAGGTTATGTTTGCATATAAGTTCAGAACCATGGGATCGAATAACTTAAAACTCCAACACGTATGATTTTTTGCTATTAGAATGTAGATGTCTCTAACAATTTCTAAAAGCGCCAGTATTTTACATCACGTTACTATTTTACAATTGGCACCTTTACCCTCTAAAAAAACTTATAAAAAAATAATTTCTGAAAAAGTTTTAAATAATTTTTACAGTTTTAAATCGCAAAAATATTTTCTTATAACGAAATTTTTTCATCAAAATTACATTTTTTTTAAATTGCTCTTTGTTTAATTAAATTAAGTTAAACAAACTAGCAGCTTATGTTGTTATTGTAAACTGTTTTCCTTCAGTCCAAGTATCATTGGCAATAAAAACTTGCTCAACAGATGCATTCATATCTGTTTTACTTTAAGCAGCTTCCGCTTACACTAAAAACTTTTTGAAAAGTGCATGATTATTTTTGAAATAAAAAAAGAAATTTCCGGATATCGATTGTGCCCATCCACTTTGAAATGCGTGTCGTCTGCCGCGGTTAAACGAACTGAATTCAGCTTATTAAACTTAAAGGTAAGTTTCCACTCATCCGTTTTTTCATGGGAACGGGATAGGAAAGGAAAAAATAATCACTTGAGCATGCGCAGTTTCCTTACGGACAAATAAAAACTTTTATTATGCATGCTAACGTGATTATTTTTCCCGTCCCTTTCCCGTTCCCGTGAAAAAACGGATGAGTGGAAACTCGCCTTTACGGTAAATTAAAAGCCAATTAAAATTTTTAATTTGGACAAAGCAACAAGCTCATACATTCCAAGCACTGTATTAAATGTTAACTTTGTTTAGATATTAATTTCATAAACTTTGTTGTTTTTTTATTGAAGTTTCTAAATGCTGTCTTACCATAAATGGTAAAAAGTTTTCCTTCTTTCTGGATTTTATCTGGCACTTCTAATCTTTTAAAAAGATAAAAGTTAAAAAAAAAAAATAATAGAAAACTATATCACAATTTTTTTTTATTGTTTTAAAAAAAACATAAGTTTAACGGTAAACAAAAATTGCACTATTTTACCCATTTTGTCATCGAAAAGGTCAAATATAACTTTGCGATAATTTTAAACGCCTACAAGTATGTTTTTAGCGGCAGAAAACTTAAAAATTCTTTCGGTAACTGAATGTAAGGCCAACCAATGCACTTTTAAAAATCCAAAAAATTTAAAAAATTACTCACCAGCCTCTGCATAAAAACTTTTTAATCGAGAAATACAAGTTGTGAACTGACAAAAAATCTAGCAAAATTATTTGAATATTTGTTTCAAAATCAGTTAACAGAACATTTTATATTTAATTTTAAATTTAAAGTAATCTCGCGTAGTGGCGTGTACATTTGTTGACTAACTATTTATGGTGCACCCAGGGCCGTGCCTACGAATAGGAAAACCAGGCAGCTGCCTGAGGTCCAACGTCCAAGGGACTTCAAATATTTTCAAGATTTTAATTTTTAAATTTAATTTACGAAATACTCGTTTAATTTTTTACCATGAATGTTTTTGAAGCAGAGACCATACCATGAAACGCAAAAAAAAAAAAAAAAAAATGCATTTTGCGTTTGTGTTTCAAAATAAAAACTCACACGTTAACTCAAACGCATTTGAAGCAATTTATTACGTTGACTTACGTAAACGTAAACGCATTATACGCAAATAACTGCTTTTATATATATATATATATATATATATATATATATATATATATATATATATATATATATATATATATATATATATATACGCATATATATATTCCATTTCCTTTGCTGTATCACAAAATTTACAATAAGAAAGATTGTACATATATCGCATATATATGTACGATATGTAATAAAATTATTTACTTTGAAACAGTCTTCTCGCCCTTCTTTCTTTGTACCTTACAGTTTAATTTATTTTTAACAATTGTTTTCATTCTTATTTTTTCATGTTTAGGACAGAGTGGGGCAAGATGTCCATAAGTCGCGTCCTCTGTGCATTTGAATAGTATTGTTTAATTCCTTTTATATACTATTGTTTTTAGATATTTACATATTCAAAAAAATAATTGGTTTTAATCAAGTTACAACTTTCCAAATGATTTTGCAAGTAAATTACAAAAAAAGTTAAAACAATAGAATATATAAGGAGTTAAACAATATTAATCTACGCAGGTCTCACAAGTATAAAGGGACATGACTTTAAGATTATCTTGCTCCACTAAAAGTTAAAAAAACTAGTTAATTGTATTATTATTATTTGTGTGATTATGATAAAGAAATGTTTTTTTTTGTGTGTAATTTATTCCACAATATTCAAAGTATAAAAATTCTAAAACTCAATCAATAAAACTAGTTTATTTGCAACTAAAAACTTTTATTTCTTTTGAAACAATACATAAATATTAAAACTAAATATTTACAGGGCGTTTTACCTGACACATAAAAGGCCATCCTCCCCTTTTTACCAAATACTATGTTATTCTATTTGTAAAACTTTTGTTTGAGATTATATATATATATATATATATATATAGCTCTTTCAATTATTATAAAAATCTGACTAAGGGTGGAATGCAAGAAGCAAATTCGACTTGAACTTTATTTTGTAACCAATAGTGACAGAGTATTTTTTGAGGGAAAACCCATACTCTGTTGCTATTGGTTATAATGTAAAGTTCAAGTTGAGCTTGACTCAAGTTCGCTTCTTGCATTCCACCCTAAATTCACTCAATTTAAAAACATAATACCCTCATTTTAAAGGGAGTCATTACAATGAGAAATTGAACATAATTTTAAACAAATTTAATCAATAATTATTTTTTATATTCGTTATAAAATGACCTAAAAACATATTAAATTACGTAATAATTTGTTTTAATGGATAAGTCTAATAGCATTTTTTTATAGCATAAGGAAGTTCCTATAGGCATTTCTTTATGATATAAGGATATGCAACTTATACATATATAGTATAAAATAATTATTTAAGCAAATAAAACCAAGTTTTACTTAATTGTTTTATAAATATCTAATCTAGTATGAATCATCAATCTTACAAGAGGAAGATCTACCACTGCAGTCGTGGCATTTTAAGAAAGTGGTTGGACTTATACACACTAAACAAATCAAATAAAAAGCGAAACGTGCTAGATGCCAATACTTTGAACGCTATCAAGTTCTTTATTAGATCAAAATGCTCGATTAATGCATTTAATAATCCTTTTTTTGAGGAAAATAATCAAAGTTCCACTTTCTTGTGCAAAAAGTTTTAGACTTTATTTCGGTTGGTGCAACATTAACTTCGTTAATGTTGCACCAACCGAAAGTTGGTAATTTAAAAAAAGAAATCATCATTATTGGTATAGAACAAATGACGTCACAATGCTGAAAATATTAAATTAGGGGGTTAAAAAGTTTATCAATACCTTTACCTTCAATAAATCAAATAAATGGTAATATTTTTTTTCAAATTATCCAGAAAATCAATGTCCAATTGAGTTAGATACGATTGAATTGTGCATACAAATCCTTTTTCCCGAATATCAGTTCAACTTAACTGTACAAAAGAATCTTTCATCAATTGCTGATGTTTTGCCTGCATTTTTTGACTAATATGCCTGCTGATTTGATTAATATGATTTCAAAATGAAGTAGAATGGAATTACAAGGAAATGGAAAAGAATTTGCTAACTTGTTAATTTCTTCTTTTAAATTAAAGTTTCAGTACGAACTTAACTCAGGAATTTATCAAGTAGGATCACTGTTAA